GTTTATGTGCCCAGGGCCTAACCAACTCTGGGGCCCTGGGATTTCTGCATTTGCAGAGCTTCGATACTCGGTGCACTCCAACCAACTGGCGTGCTGCAACTGTATGGACCCCACTTCGTGAAATGTTTGCATAGGGGGCTCTTGTTGATTTGTTGGCCCGCCTTCACTTAGGGCGGGCACGAGGCTTGCTGGGGCCTTAGCCCAGAACATGTACATCATGGCAAGGCCCCTTCTTGAGGGCTCAATCCTCGCACTTATCTGGGCATTATCTAGGTGATTATCCCACCCACCTCTCCCCACCTATGTTGTTGCCCCCTCCGGTCTTACCTTCTCTCTCGGTCTCCGGGTACCCCCTGCGGCATTGGTGAGTTGCCACATCAGCAGGCCATGTCAGCAAGACACGCCAGCAGACCATGTGAGCAGGACACGTCAGCAGGCCACGTCAACCAATAGCAGTGCCACGTCATCAACAGGGAATACCACGTCAGCAGGCCCCCAGCCTGGTCTATGCTGTTGCGTTCACAAACAGTCATCACCAGAGGTCCAGAGAAACAGACGAGGCCTATCAGGCCCGGATGCTGGCCTCGAGTACCGAAACCAAGAGACGGGCGGATGACGCAGCAACAACAACGAAGAAGAAGGCAAAGGACGCCGATCAGGCACGTCTGCTGGCAATTGAACAACAGCGCCAGCATGACGAGGCAGCAGCAAAGGCTGCCGATGAAGAACTACTTCAACGTTGGGAGAAGATATTTAGCGAAGAGCAAACTTTGCTCACAATGGCAGCGGATTGGCGGGCCGAGGCCGAGAATGGCAAGATGGAGGATAGCGAAAATAAGATCGCTCTACTCCTCTCCCATCTCACGGACCTCCTGGCAACATGCATTACACAGCAGGAGGACATCCATAGCCTCGACGACGCGCTGACTCAGGTCCACCCGGCCGCCCCCGATGCCAGCTCTTCCAACACCTCCGATCGCCTCGAAGCATTGGAGATGGACGTCGACTCCCTCAAGGATGGCGTGCAGTTACAGCAGACCGCAACGCAACAGTTGCAACAACGGATCTGTACTACCGCCAACAACTCGAGTTCGGAACCGCGCGAGACAGCTCCAAAGTTCGACGGGCAGGAGATCTTCTGTGACTCGACGAAGACAGATCCGATTCCATGGTTCCGCAAGTTCGAGCTCACACTGCAGCTACACTACATCAAAGAACACAAGCACCACGCGTACTTATACTCCCGGTCCGAGGGCGCGTGCCAAGCATGGTTGGACAATCTCTTGTCCAAGTACGGAGTAGTAGTTGGCGACTTGCACACCAAGATCATCTGGGATGATCTGAAGGCGGCTAGGCACAAGCGGTTCCAAGTCAAGCCGTCGGAGATCAAGGCAATGGACAAGCTCATGGTCTTCGAACAAGGCACGCTGCCGAGTGTCGATTGGATTCCCGAGTACCAACGCTTGACATCAGTCCTAGACATCCAGATCGGCTTCAAAGCCATCCGCCACTTTCATCTCAAGGTCGTGTCCGACATTAAGCAATGCCCTGACTCACGTTGAGGACACCTTGACAACAATGGCGGAACTCTTTGACAAGGCCCCGCAGATTATCATCACGAACAAGGACGCTAAGAACCTGCGTTCGTCTGCGCCAGGCCCGAGCAGAAACCAGCATAGGCCAAGAGTGCCCGTGGTCGCGGCGACAACACCGTTTGACCAAACTAGCGAGGCCGTGTTTGCCAATGAAGGGGACAGACTCGCAGCCGCCCGGGAAGGTGGCCGACCCAGCAAAGGCCAAGGACGCGGCAAGGCGAAGACAAACACTGCATCTAGCCCCGGGTCCGGCGCAGCAGCTCCAGCCCCATGGTCCCAATATGGCCTCTCCGAAGCGGTGTACAAAGCACGCACGAGATTTCACTATTGCCTTGCAACAACGATCTCCATGAGACAGTGGCCTGCCCGTCAAAAGGCAAGGGCAAATCGGGAAACTAAGCACCACCGGGAGTGACTCGACGACACTCTCGACGGTTTCGAAACCGGTCGCTTCAAGGGTGACCGCCTTCGTTCCAAGGCACATGCAAGCGGTACGATGACAACAACGCACTGCTCATGTATGTCCGCATCCAGGTTGGGCAAGCGTCCTGCAGCGCTTTGCTAGATAGCGGCGCATCTCGCAATCTCATGAGCCAAGCCTTTATGCAAACGGCTGGCCTTGGCGCACAAGTTCGAAGGAAGGCAAACCCGACGACGATCAAGTTGGCGGATGGAAAGACGCCGCAACTTCTCGACCATTGCATCAAGGCCGTACCGGTGCACTTCGCACCTCATGCATGCGAACCGGTGACGTTCGACATTTTGGACACAAGACTTCGACATCATTCTGGGAATGCCTTGGCTTGCAAGTGCGGAGCACACGGTCAACTTCCACCGGCGGACTCTTAGTGTTCGCGACGCCTTCGGCGCCGAAGTGGCATGTACTATTCCTCTTCCGCACCCTTCAATTCGGTGCCAAGTGGTGACGGCCAAATCATTCCGGGCAACTTGCACTTACGAGCAGCCCGAGGAAATCGGGTGGTAACCGACTCTTCACCCACGGACTTGTCTTCGGACCCCCGGGTGGTGCGGTTGCTGGACGAGTTCGCCGACATCTTCGAGTCACCTGCCGGTGTGGTGCCGGATCGGGCGATCTCTCATGAGATCATTCTTGAGGCCGGTGCCATGCCGCCGAAAGGTTGCATCTATCGGATGAGCGAGGAAGAGCTTGAGGTCCTCCGTGCACAACTCGACGATTTGTTGGCCAAGGGCTGGATCCGCCCTAGTAGCTCCCCATATGGAGCACCAGTTCTCTTCGTCCGGAAGAAGAACAAGGATCTACGATTGTGTATCGATTACCGCAAGCTCAACGCGCAAACCGTCAAGAATGCGGGGCCTCTTCCTCGCATTGATGATCTTCTTGAGCGATTGGGTAGCGCAAAGTATTTTTTTAAGTTGGATTTGAAATCGGGATATCATCAAATCTCGATTCGGTCGAATGATCGCTACAAATCCGCGTTCAAAACGCGGTTCGGGCATTTTGAGTGTGTGGTCATGCCTTTTGGCCTCACCAACGCCCCGACGACCTTTCAAGCAGCAATGACCAACGAGTTTCGTGCAATGTTGGACCGGTTCGTCCAGGTCTACTTAGATGATATTCTCGTCTATAGCCGGACATTGGAGGAACATCTTGGGCATCTTCGACGAGCGTTGGAGACGCTCCGCCGCGCCAAGTACAAGGCCAACCGTGCCAAGTGCGAATTTGTCTAGCAAGAGCTGGAAAACTTGGGCCATTTTGTCACACCGGAGGGCATCAGTCCGCTATCGGACAAGATTCAAGCCATCCAAGAGTGGCCGGAGCCTCGGAACGTCACGGATGTCCGTTCGTTCCTTGGCGTCGCTGGCTACTATCAATGTTTCATCAAAGGCTACTCAAAGATCGCAGACGACTTGACCAAGGTTCCATGCGAGGATTGGCAGGTTTGACTTCGGAGAGGAGGTGCGGGAATCATTTTTGGCTCTCAAAGCCGCACTATTACCTGTGGAGGTCTTGCGCATATACGACCCGCTTTTGCCTACGCGTATCACGACGGATGCGTCCGGCTATGGCATTAGTGTCGTCCTCGAGCAACATGATGGTGTGGACTGGCACCCGGTCGAGTATTTCAGCATGAAAGTGTCCGTCGTGCATTCCATGGACGATGCACGCATGAAGAAGCTCCTCGCCTTCGTCCACGCGCTCAAGCGGTGGCGGCACTTCCTCCTTGGTCGAAGCCAATTCCGATGGGTAGCGGACAACAATCCGATGGTCTTCTATAAGACCCAAGACACCGTCAACAGCACCATCGCTCGATGGATGGTTTTCATCGACCAGTTCGACTTCTTTCCCGATCACATTTCCGGAAAGTCGAACCGTTTGACGGGTACTCTTTCACGGCGTCCGGATCGTTGTACTGCGGTCTACTCAACCTTCGAGATCGACGACGACCTGCGGAACAGCTTCATCCGCGGCTACCAAGCCGGCCCCGAGTTTCACGACAAGTACGCAAATTGCTCCTCTCCTAATCCGGCGCCTTCTCACTACCGGATCCAAGAGGGGTACTTGCTTGTCCACACACGGGGGAAGGACCTTCTTTGCGTACCGAGTGATCCTCACTTGCGTACATGGCTTCTTGGCGAGTTCCACGATGCTCCCGCCACCGGACACTTTGGAGTCAATTGCACGATCGGCCGACTTCCTTAGCGATTTTGGTGGCCCGGCCTTCTCAGCGACGTCACACGCTATTGCGAGTCATGCGAGGTTTGTCGACGCTGCAAATCCCGCAACCACCATCCGTACGGCGAGTTACGACCATTACCGGTCCCTTTGAGGCGAAGGGAAGCGATTGCCATGGACATTACCGGCCCGTTCCCCAAGCCCAAGACCAGCGTGGATGGGATTCTCACGGTGGTCGACCGACTCACCAAGTTCGCCATGTTTTTGCCTTGCCGCTATCATGCCAAGGCACCGGAGTTGGCCGAGGTTCTTTACGCCGAATGAATTCGAACCAAGGGTTACCCCAAGGAAATCGTCTACGACCGCGACACTTGGTTCATGTCCGATGTTTGGTTGGCGCTCATCAAGCGATGGGGCTCATCTCTCAAGCCCAATTCAAATCGCCACCCGCAGACCAATGGCCAAACGGAGAGGGCGCACTAGACCGCACAGGTTCTCCTTCGCACTCTCATCCGTCCTGACCAGAAGGATTGGGTTGAGCGGTTGCCGAATGTCGAGTTAGCCTACAACTCCTCCATCCACCCGGCTATCGGGATGTCGCCCTTCGAGTTCGAGCACGGCTCGCCGGTCACTTCGCCGTTGGACACTATCACTCCACGAACGGCCGAGAGCGACGACCATCTTCTTTTCTTGCGTCGGATGCAAGAGCTACTTGTCAAGGCACGCGACTAGATTGCCAAGACGCAACAACGCATGAGCCAACAGGCCAATCGCCAGCGTCTTCCTTGCCCATTCCGCGTCGGCGATCTCATTTGGGTCTCCGCCGCGAAATTCAGCCTTAAACAAGATATCTCTCGCAAGCTCCTCCCGAAATGGATGGGGCCTTGGCCGATCGTGGCACCCGCTGGGGATGCACCCGAGGGACCTTCCTTCACTATTCAAGTGCCCGCCCACTTGCCCGTCTACCCAGTCTTTCATTGCTCCAAGTTGGCTCTTTACACGCAAGCAGAACATGAAGATTTTCTCGGGCGACGTTCGCAAGACCCACCCTCTACGGACGGTTTTCAGGAGGTCCGCGACATCATCTCCCAGCGACGCTACGGCAATAGGCCAACCGAGTACTTGGTACATTTCGCATATTGCACACATCAAGCTGACCGTTGGTTGACCCGTGCAGAACTTCAAGCAACAGCTTTGGACGTTCTTGCACGCTACGAACGCAAGATGCGAGGCAAGTCGGTCTCTTCGGCTCCTCGCCACGCCCACGTCCAGGTTCCGCCTTCAGATCGTCAGCTTCGCCCTCGCCCCGACTTGACTTCATAAGGAGGGGGGGGTGTTACATGCTGCGCCTGCACACGAGGGCCATTTTCCAGGCCATGCATCCCTCAGGCTCAAGCCTGAAATTCAGGCTGAAAGCCTAGAAACCAAGGCCTACAGGCCCCATGACCATTCAACTCGAAAGCCTGAAATGCAGGGGCCTACAGACCCTGTGTCGTTTCAGACTAAAATGGCAGTAGTCGTTTTAGCCTGAAACGAAGGGCCATTTTCGGTCTGTCATCAGACCGGCCTGCCCTGAAACTCAGGCACCGAACCAAGGTTTTAGGAACAGGCTATTTTTGGCCTGTTCCCACGCCAGCTGCAGCGCCAGCCTCTGGCTCAGTTCGGCATTGGCAAGAGCAGCCTCCTGGACTGCCCGCCCTGCAACTGCAGGCAGTCGGAGGCAGTCAGGAGGCAGGCCGAGATAGTACATAGGGACTTCCCATGCACTTCATGGGTAGGTAGGAGGCAGTCAGTAGTCTTCAGGATTCGGCAGCAGCACTCTGGAGGGAGCGCTGCAGGAGTTGTAGTAGCCTTAGCATTAGTCTTCAGCGTTGGGCGCCAGTAGGTAGTTGAAGTCTTCAGCGCTGGGCGCCATAGCCAAGATAGTACTAGAGAGAGAGAGATTCCGCGGAGGCTAGGAGTACCTACCTACAGCGTCGTTGCTCCAGCTTCGTCTTCGAGGTACTTGCAGCACCGCGCCAACTTCACAGGTTAGTACCTGGCTCGTGAGAGAGAGAGAGAGCTCTTCTTCTTCCTCTTCTCAATCCACCATCTCCCTCTCACCCTCTCATTATCTGACTTCACTGCGTTAGCAGACTACGAGAGAAAGAGAGAGAGAGAGCTTCGTGACATTGGATCCAGACTCGACTCTTGGGCTTCAAACATTTCGACGAGGGATTATTTGGAACGTGTGACAAAGACTTGGTGTCAACGACACTCCCATCTCTCGCCCTCTTCTTCGTCTGATCCCCTCCTCTTCGTCTGTGTATGTCTGGACCTGGCGCTTCCTTTCTAAGTAATAGCACCAGGCTCCTTCACACCTTGTGATGAGCATGATGTATGTTTGGTCTGCGTTGAAACATTGGTTGGGCTAGTCATTCGTATTCTAGCATTCTGCTTTGCTATCTTGTACTACGTAAAAGAGGTCAGTCTCGGTCAGGTCACGATTTGTATCGAAGTCTTCCCTACGCTATAAAGCACCATTTTGTATGTATCGGAATGCACATTGCTTGTTGAGATTCTACTTGCACTGCATTGTCCATTTAGTCCTCTTCATCACATTGCGGATCCTTGGTTTCTATGTACATCGCCCAACTCGGCATGTAACACCTACCCTGCCTACTTGGAACCGGGCCCTAACTAGGGCCCATGTGGCTCAGAATGCCACACACTCCCCCCCTTGAAGACCGAGCTAGCTGCGTTGTCAAAGGGATATGTCCGATGTCCGTACGGGGTGAGCAGGTTGGGCAGCTTCCTTAGCAAGTCGCTGGTTTTCGTAATGCGCGAAGATGAAGGGTGTTGTCGCCTTCAGATCAACTCGTAAAATCTAGCGTGTGTCGTCAGGATCGCATTGCTTAAATGTGACTTTTTGTACTGCATTGGCTTGTTGCCATGCTTACAATGCGTGAGAACGCGGTCGACCTACTGGTGACGACCCATTGCAGCAGGGTCGTGTGACCGTATGCCCGGGAAGTCCGCTGCGGAGGCTGGAGTGTAGATCGCCAGCTTAGAAGCGTGAAATACCGGGTGGACCGTCAAATCCGGGGGAATCTCAATGATGAAAGATGGACCTGGGGGGTCGTCGCCAACTGTTGAAGTGACCTTCCATGGTCCAAACCACTTAGGGAGGAGTTTGCGCGAGACGTGCTGCTCGAGCGCGAATTCCTCGGAGGTGACCCGAACTAGGTCGCCAGCGCGTATTGGATTGTCTACCGCGTGGAAGCGGGGAACACAACCCTAAGGTAGCCAAAACAATGAGAGAGAGAGAGAGAGAGAGAGAGAGAGAGAGAGAGAGAGAGAGAGAGAGAGAGAGAGTTTT